TTAAAAGTGCCTCAAAGTTTTTCAAGCGACTATAAAGTGTTTTTCATTCTACCTCACGAATTATAAAAGTAATGCTAATAATAAACACATGAAAAAGAAGTCTAACCGTATAAGTGAAGACTAGTCTACTTTTTGCCCCCAATTTTTGCTCCAAGTCTTTTTAAGGTCTGTGGCTCTCACTGCCTTTAGATTAGGACTCAAATTGCATGCGATCACGTGTTAATTTCACCTTCAGGCTCACTGCACTGTTGTTCAGTTCTAATGAACCAAGTGCACAAAATGCTGCACGTTTGCATTTCTTGTCAGAAGCATATTACTTGCATGACTGCACACACTCCTATAGTCAGCAGAGCACAGTTAAACCAAGAGATGTTTGCTGCAGAGGCTTCCTGATGGTAGAATATTTTGGCAATTCATTGACAAATCTGTTGATTTTTTGTATAATAATAATAATAATAATAATAATAATAATAATAACAACAATTATTATTTTTTTATTATTTTTTTTCCATCTCTGAACACTAACTGTATCCTACTAGAAAGAACGTCAACATATGAAACACAGAACCCACAAAACAAAAATGAAACAACATGCATACATCTGAAATTATTTGCTGGAACACCGCAAGTGGATTAATCTGTTTGCAGGAATAGTTGTGAAACTCCAATCCCCCACAGACTCACACGTTTTTATAAAAATCCTCCAAATAAAACTGAAATGATGGATGAACCCTCTGATGTCACTAGGGCTGGTGGATATAACGACATATCGGATGACGATATAAAAACGTCTATCGTTTCATTTTTACGCTATCGTTTGTTTTGTGATGTCGCAAAATAAACTGTTTACGGCAATATTTTTTCATCGTTTTGATGGTCACTGTAGTGGCTATATTAATTTCTTAAAGTTCTCTCTTTCTCTTATATTTAATATAACCACACTACAGACGGACAAGCGCCTGTTTTTATGTGTTGTGGTTAGCAACAACGACGGTTGACAGCATTGTTACAGCCTTAAAACATATATAATAATTGTAAAAACTAAAGCTGACTACTTGGATTTTACCTGTCACAGGTTATTTTTAGAACGTAACTCCCGCGATAAACGAGGGACCACTGTATCACACACAGATTCCTTTCTATCAAAAGGTACACACCAGTGTGCACAGAGCCATAGCACCACATGCTAATGTTTATTTACCATGAGCCTGGCAGTGGGCCCATTTTACAAGTGCTCAATTTGTGCTAGAAACAAACACTCTCTGTATTATACTCTTGCATGAGTTTTTTGAAACTCAAGTTTCAATGAAGAATCTCACCTTATGATGTTGGTGCAGTCGTACGCGCCGCCTATACCAACTTCAATCACAGCTAAATCCACCTGAGCAAAGAGAAGAGCTGTTTAGATCCAAAGAAAACACCAGGAGTAAATCTGAGATCAGAGCTTTAAACTTCACTGACAAAGGAAACTGCACAGGTGTCTGTATTTAAGGCACATTAATGCCACTTAAGTGAGGAATAATTTTTTTAAGTGTGTTTATTGGCTGTCTCTGAAGTTACCTTCTCCTGGAGGAAGACATGGAAGGCCAAAATGGTGAGGAAGCGGAAATACGCTGGCATCGTCCCTCCGTGGGCATCCTGAGGGGATCGAAGAGAGAAAGACTAAGACTGCCTGATTACAGCCAAAAGATAAAATAATGAACTTTCTGATCCATAATTCTAATCTTCAAGTCAAGTCAAGAAAGCCTTTGTCACATGTAAGTTGCCCTGCAGCGAAATGGGACCCCCCCCCTCCCCCGACTTTACATACACAGCACAGACATAACATGGGGAAACAGGTCGTATTATGGAAAATCTTGGCTATTTAATGCAGTTATTGCACAGAACACAACAACCTAAAATAATCATAATGAATAATAATAATAATCATCATCTATAATAACATTGGCAGGGACCAGCAGATGGAGAAAAACACTTATTTGAAATAAGAACTAGGAGTTTTTAAAAAAGCAAAAATTAAAAGGACAAAATCAAATTAAATAAATAAAACTGCTTTTCTGATTCTGTGGGAAACCCTGCAGCTGCGTGCCTTAAAGGGTTGAACTGTGGGGCGGTAACGTGACCAACGCGTGCTGCCCATCACATGAGGCTCACGCTCATCCTGACATGAGGAGGAGCCTCATTTTAAAACCCACTCAATTACAACCTGTGACACAGATTATACACACACACACACACACGGTCAGTGACTGTCTGCGCTCCCGTTTTCAGACCCACCTTTGTTTCATCGAGTCGCCCGTAAACCTGCCAGAAATATTTAGTGAA